TTTTTCTGTTTTTTTGTAAGGCTTTTGACACTGTCCCTCACAGCATCTTTCTGGACAAGCTGTCCAGCTGTAGGATGAGCAGGTTCACAGTGCTCTGGGTGAAGAACTGTTGAACTGAAGGTTGAGGATCTGAAAAATCTCACTGCAAAAGTTGTGAATGGGGCTACATCTGGCTGGTGGCCAGGCACCAGCGGTGTTCCTCAGGGCTCAATTCAAGGGCCAGTTCTGTTCAATATCTTTATCAATGATCTGGATTCAGAATTTGAATGCACCGTTAGTAAGTTTGCTCATGATCCTAAACTGGGAGGTGCTGCTGTCTCTCTCAAGAGACAAGAGGCCTGTCTAGAGGAAACTAGATAGATTGGAGTGTTGGGCAATCATTAATAGGATGAAGTTTAATAGGAACAAATGCCATATTCTGCACCTCGGATGGAGTAATGCTGGGCACAAGTAGAAGCTGGCAGAGGAGTGGCTGGAGAGCATCCCTGCAGAAAGGGATCTCAGGGTGCTGGTTGACATGAAGGTCAATACGAGTCAGCGGTGTGCCCTGGCAGCCACGAGGGCAACCAGCATCCTGGGGTGCATCAAACACAGCGTAACCAGCCGGTCAACAGAGGCGATTATCCTGCTGTATTCAGTGTTGTGTGGCGTCACCTTGAGTACTGTGTGCAGCTCTGGGCCCCTCCATTTAAGAAGGATGTGAAGGTACCTGAATGCATCCAGCGGAGAGCAACAAAGCTGGTGGAAGAGCTGGAAGGCATGTCCTGTGAGGACTGGCTAAGGACTTTCGGTTTGTCTGGTTTGGAAAAAAGGAGGCTGAGGGGCAACCTCATTGCTCTCTGCAGCTTCCTGAGGAGGGGAAGTGGAGAGGGAAGTGCTGATCTCTTTTCCTTGGGATCCAGCAACATGATGTGTGGCAGTGGCTCAAAGCTGCATTAGGTGAGGTTCAGACTTGACATTCAGAAACATTTCTTTGAGGGTGGTCAAACACTGCAGCAGCCTTCCTAGAGAGGTGGTTGATGCCACAAGCCTGTAAGTGTTTAAGAAGCATTTGGACAATGCCATTAATAATATGCTTTAACTTGGTCACCTGTGAACTGGTCAGGCAGTTGGATTAGATGATCATTGTAGGTCCCTTCCAACTGGAACTTTTCTGTTCTAAATACTCCAGTGTATTACATAACTCTGTGTGTTCAGCCCACAGGACTAAACTAGAACTGATTTGAAGTAAAGCACTCTGAAAGGCAGATAAGTTGGCTGTTGTGAATCCTTTCACTCTCTAGTTTCATTCTTATTTGGCTTCTGTACCTGCAAGTGTACACATAGCCTATGATGGAGAGACTATTCCTATTGTTGTGTGTTAGTGATGGAGAAATTAATATATTTTTTATTTCTAGGTGATGTTGCTCTGGACACAATGAGTTTTAAGGACTTAGGTGGGCAAGTTAGTTGCTGCTGCATTTTAGGTGTGTGAGCAGGCAGCAAAGGAAGCTGATGATGATTCTTTCAGGAATTTCAGGACAAATTCTTGTAACTCCAGCATAGCTGTTCTGTGCATAAACAGAAGGGATATTTTTTTTTTCTATCTTGAGCATAGGTATAATTTCTTTTCCCAAGATGTGTGTGTTTCATATGCAGTTATTAATTCAGTCTCACAGTACATAAGCTATACTAAAAGTAGTAGTGTTTCAAATGTCAGAAAAGTACAGTAGTCAGATACCCTTCCGTTTAACAACTTTCAATTATATATCACTTTCCTAGTGATACTTCTTCACCCTTGTCTACACAGTACATTTTTTTGCCTGTGTTTATGTAGATATGTAAGAACAGCGCTTATTTTGATTCCAATATCAGATGGTCTAAATAGAGATACAGATGAGCTATGATCTCAAGATTGATATAAGTTTTGAACAAAGATTTAAGTTCCCAGAGGTGGAAAGACTGAGGCAACTTTTTAAGCGCCTTTTAAAGCACATTTTTGCCTGCCCAATCCTGAGCTTTTCCAGAAACTAAAGTAAGCTGAAGTTACAGTGGCTTACTGTGGTCACACATGGAAGGTGGATTCCCTAGATCTCCCAGTTGCCTGCCTCAAGTTGCCTCTGCACCAGAAGGAGGTGGGGAAGTCTTCCATCATTAATTTCGTGCCTTTTTCCTGCAGTTTATGTTTGGGGGTCCTCCCCATAGTGAATTTTGAAGAATCATCCTCCTATTCCAGCCTTCTGGCTGTAAGAGTCAGTGCAAAAGGAGAGCATCACATCTTGATTTTATTTTTTTAACATAAAACAATAAACATGGCTTAATATGAATATCTGTGGTAGATTTGACCTTGGCTGGCAGCCATATGCCTATTCAGCTGGTCCTCTCCACCTCCTCAACAGGAGAGAGAGAGAATATGATGAGAAAGCTCGTGGGTCCAGGTAAAGGCAGGGAGATCATTTACAATTTACTGTCACAAAAACGGACTGGACTTGGGGAAGAGTAATTTATTGCCAATTAAAGATAGAGTAGGATGGTAAGAAACAAAGACAAAACTAAAAATACCTTTTCCGCACCCCTCCCTTCTTCCTAGGCTTAACTTCACTCCTTCATTCCTGACTCTTCTACCTCCTCCCTCCTCAAGCGATGCAGGGTGGGTAGGGAATGGAGGTCGCAGTCAGCTCATAAACCTTCATTTCTGCTGCTTATTCCTCTTCACACTGTTCCCCTGCTACACCATGGGGTCCCTCCCATGGGATACAGTCTATGAATTGCTCCAATATGGTTCCTTCTCAATGGCTGCAGCTCTTCAAGAACTACTGTAGCATGGGTCCTTTCCATGGGGTACAGTTCATCTGGAAAAAGCTTCTGCTGTGTGGGCTCTCCATGGGCTGCAGCTTCCTTCAGGGCACATCCACTTGCTACAGTGTGGAGTCCTCCACAGCCTGCAGTGTGGATACTTTGCCTGGTATAGTCCTCCAGGGCAATCTGCTCCACCATGGTCTTCTCCATGGGCCACAGGGGAATCTGGTCCAGTGCTTTGCAGCACCTTCTGCTCTCCTTCCCCACCGACCTTGGTGTCTGCAGAGCTGTTTTGCTCACATTTTTCTTTTTGTACTCTCTCACAGCTGCTGTGCAGCATTTTTTTACCATTTCTTAGATATGTTTTCACAAAGGTTCCGTTAGCTTTGCTGTTTGGCTCAGCAGTGGCCTATGGTGGCTCTGTTTCAGAGCTGGCTGAAGTCAGCTATGTCTGGCATGGAGGGAAGCCCCTGGCTGCTTCTCACAGAGGCCATCCCTGCAGCTTCCCCACTGCCAAAGCCTTGCCACATAGACCCAATACCATATCATATGTCATGTTTCATCCTACAGGGTAAGTTAACTCCAGGCAGTTTGATGACAAACATGTTAGAGTGAATTTCCAAGGGGAAAAATGTCCATGTTTAACCTTTAGTATCTTGTATAGTTGTTTGATGTGAAGTGTTTTATTCTGGCTCTCCTCTTCAAAGCTGTCATCATATTCAACTGCTCTGTATGTTTCCTCACACTGTCCACACTTAAAGCAGTTTGGGTCAGACGGAAGTCGCAAGTGGAAGTACTTCTGTTTCTCTGTAAGTTCTAGATTCCTACCTCTCTTCGCAGTGCTTTCAAAAGCCAAAATAATCCAGGGTTGACACTATTACATGCATGACCTTGTTGGTTATGGTTTGCAAATACTCCAGTGCCCACAATAGTCTGCAGGCATTGTCTGCCACATATTAAATAAGTAAAATGATAGTGAGTTCATCAAGGCCAGCTTCACTCTTTTCTTATATACCCTCTTAGACTTCATACAAGCGAAAGCCTGTTCATATTGTGATGGTGTTGATTTTCCCTTTAAATACTGTCTTCCCTCCAACTATTATCATTCCTTCATCCAACTATTATCTTTCCTCCCTCCCCTCAGTTTTCAGTCAAGCTCAAAAAATAGCCTCACTTTTCTCCCCCACATGCTTGAATTCAGATGTAGGTGATAATCAATATGGATGAAACATCAGGAAAGACCCTGCCAGCCTCTGAGCTTATTTGTCCTTTTTTGCCTGTACAGTCCACCAGGTTGCTGTCCATATTCTTCATTCCTGACCTTTGAAGAGACTACGTTCTAGCTGCATTCTTACAGATAGTCCTACAGAAGTATGATGAGCAACACACTTGACTAAAATGGCTAGAATTTTGCACATGGTTTTTGATAGTCATTCACTTCCCTTTCAAACAGAACAGATATTTGGCCTGACTACATCACACTTCTTCTGCATTTCTGTCTGCTGTTCAGCATGGAAGAAAATCATTGTGGGGGAAGAGATTTTTAATGTCTGTCAGACACATGATGATAATTGTTTACTTCTGACCCTAAAATATCCCCTTGAATATATAGTAAATGAGTACCTGATCACTTGCCTTTCCGGTTTAGCTGTGTTTTCTGGAATCTTGTTTGGAGAAGTGAAGGTTGGGCTAGAATGTGGGGGATCCTTTCAGAATGCCTGGGGTTAATTAGCATGTGAATCTCATAGGTTGCAAAGTTTCCAGTTTCTGCCTCTTGAGAGGTTCCAGTTCTAGCCAATTTAGCATCTATATATTTGAGGCACATACATGTTGGCCTAATATAAAATAATCTTATAGACTAAATGGTATTGTCATTACAGAATATCTGTTGCTAATGAGGCAAGAATTAACAACAAAATAAGGGTTGTTAGTGTGACTGTGAGTGGAGGCACTCTTTAACTTTTTTCAGAGTTCTCTGACATACGTTAGAAAAAATATTTCTGAAAATCCTGCCATTTCAAGTCAAAACTTTCAAAAGTGATTAGTTATTTTGAGTTGCTCCATTTTCAAGGTGCATTAAAGAGACCTGCCTTTTCTGACAGTTCTGACATATGCACATGTCAGTAGGGGTTTTACAGCAAAAATCGTCTAATTTCTTTTTGACCTGTGATATGCAGCAGCCCACTGGGAATATATTTCTTCTTTCCAAATGAAATAACAGCTTAGCTTCTTTTCTTTTTGATGTTAACTGTCCCTAGATGTGCCTTTCTTTCAGAGAAGAGGTTCTGGATGATAAAGCACATACCTGAATCAAAACACAAAATGGTGTAAGAACAAGGGAGTAGAGTCCAAAGTGTTCATTTAGAAGGAACAGTATGAGACTTCATCTGGCAAACCACAACTTCATCTGGCTAAACCACGACACAACCTTACACAGTTCCTTCCATGAATTTAGGAATGGAACAGTGCATCATGAAGATGAGATCCTTCAAATTAGTGTTAAAGCCAATGACAGAATGAAGACTTGGCTTTAATGCAGCCAAATTCAGTTCAAATTTTTCAAAAGTATTTTGTTGAGAAGGAGAAGGGGTCTATTTACATGCACGTTTTGGGGTGGGCTTTTTTTTCACCCCTTTGGCTAATCAACCTGTAGCAGTCTTTATTTAGGTATAACTTCTCACACCAGCTAGGAGGAATGAGTGAAGAGGGGTTGCACAAAATGAGAGTATGATCAAATGGGAATTGATTTAAAAAAAAAAACAAACTTTGCTAAGTAACTGGAGGGGCAGGAGCATTGAAGCAATTTTATATTTTTGGTTTATATTTTTATGCCTCACACATACATGGTGTCTTTTCCAAATTCAATTATTTGTATTTGAAAGGCATTGGAAATCAAAACAGCTGGTGATGAACTTCCCTACAGTGGTCAGCAGGAGATGTGGCAGAGTTAGTTTGTGAAAGGAGCTATATTGATTTGATTTTTTGTTGCCATACGCATCCCAGTTGTGTTGAGACCAGCTTTCTGGAAGATGAGATACTTACCTATAAAGAGCACTAGCAGGTACATTTTGAGAACATAGGGGAAGTAGATTGAGAAGGTGAATGGCAATGATAGCTTGATGGAGTATGTGCCAAAGGATTCAAAATAAGGCAGTGACACACAAATTGCAAATGCTGTAAAATAACATGGTAAATCTTTAGTCAAAAAGAGGTAGATCATCAAAAAGCTTCATGTAAAAGTTATCTTTAAGGCACAGATAGCTATATTATATGCTGAATTTAACGTCATTCGCATGCATATGCACATGTTTTCTCCTTGAGTTCATTTCTGTAGGTTTGAGGTGCTAATTGCTCTTAATACTAGAATTAGCAAGTATTTCCTATTGAATAACAAGTTCTGTCACTCCTGTAGTTGCACTGCTTTCAATGTGAACTCAGGGGGCACATTCCCTCGTGTAAATACAATAAGCTACCAAGTATGGCCTGAGCCAGTAAGGTCAGCCTCAATGGTGGAGAAGGCCCCTTTGGGATTTGCTGTCTAACATGGCCAGTCTGGAATGGGGGTATTTTCCTGCTTTACCCAGAAAAATTAATAATTTCCCATACTCTTAAAAAAACAAAACAAAAAAAACCCCAGACACACAAACCTCAGAGAACCCCTATTAAGGAAAAAAGTACAGAAAAGAGGAAGATAGGTGAAAGATAGATGATAGATTAATATGAGAGTACATAAACATTTGTGACTACTTTGGCAACACAAAAAGAAGTATCTTAAATGCAAATGACAATTGAACTGATCAAATTTTGTTGAAGAAGATTAAGGAAGCAAGTCATTGGTACCTTTCCCTTCTCCTTACCTTTAGCGAGAACTGAAAGGGGATAGAGTGGGATGCAAAGTGAGAAGTTGAGCCATGTCAGTGGTAGGTAGTATATTCCTGTCCTTGCTAACATGTTGTAAGTGTACCTGCAGCAAGAGGAACAGCAGATGAGCTCAGGGGGAATGATCATGACTTTATTTTAAAGACAGATTATTGAAAAATCCAAAATTGCAGAAGAGCTTGGAGCTTCCTACCTCAGAAAACTTCAGAGCAATAGTGCAACATTTTACGCTCTAATTATGTCTGAAAGTAAATGGTTCATTGTTTTGGAAGGGTTATCTGTGGAGCTACCCTAGAATAGGCAGACAGCAATACAGCCCTCCAGCCTAAAGGTTCTATCAGAACCCAGCATCATTTCATGTGGGTCCATCAGAAAATGGATTTTAGATAGGCGTTTTACAACTGAGGGGGGCAGGCAAAATGGCTGTTGCTTGCAAGTAAGAAAATGCTGATTTGTGACTGCTGAGCTACCTAAACCACTGCAGGAGGAGGCTAAACAGCAAGGTTATTGCAGGTACTTAATCTTCTGTAGTACGGCTGCCCCTCCCCTGGACCTCAGAAGCGATAGTAGGCGCAAAAAAAGCAGTTGGCCCCACCATACAGTAGCATTTTATTCTTTCAGCTGTTAACTGTTGCTCACTGGGAGACCAGAATGCCCAGGTCTTCAGTCTCCAAAATTGAGCTAATCCTAGCTAGTCTGATCTAAAAGTGGTACAGCCGCTTTCCAGACTCCAAAGAAACAGGCCTGATCGCATTTTCGGTCATCTGAAAGGCTTTTTGCCCTGTGGTCTTGCTAGAGATACAAAAATAAGGGTTTTTTTTAAGCCACAGCCAGGACTGTTTATGACAGATAAAACCAGCATTAAACAAACTTTCTGTACTCCATTCTTATGAATTCATTTGACTTACTTTGCATCATTCCTGGGCTGTAGAAGAGTTTGATAGGCTATAAATGTACCATCTTTTTTCAAGTTTGCCCTCTGCAACCTCAGGATTGTCTCAATTTTTATTATTGCTTTTTAGGCATGATCTCAACCCAATACAAAAAGGAAACAGCTACTCCCTCTCTACACACCTCCTTGGGCTGTTTATGGTATAAGCAGGAAAGATCAGATATAGAAAACCTTGCATTTGCTCTCAGTGTATCATTAGCCGTAATGCACAGGATATTTGGGTCCCTGAAGGAATATGGAGGAACTTGTAATTCTTCAAGACTAATTGGCTAAGGGATGGGATAGATTCCTATACACTTTTAGACATGACCGCTTCTTTGAGATGCTAAGACGTGGCACAGATGCTGTAAATAATAAATCAGGTAAGAATCTGTATGAGTTGTGCTATGCGTTACTTGAATTGGTCATTTGCTGCTATAAGACCGCATTATCTTGCCTATTAAATGTCCCCTGTTATTGCTATGATGCTGGACTGTGTGTTTTAGCAATGATAGAAAATAATAATGTATTGATAGGACTATTATGCACTGACAGGACTTTACAGCCAATATTGTTTACACTTTTGGCCTCTTCCCAGCTGCGCAGAACCCTTTCGTTTGAGATTAGGTTCTACTATCTTAGCTTTACAAAATTCAAAAAGAAATGGGATGGAGCAATAATTCAAATAATTAATGCAAGTAGTAGTTTATTAACACATGTAGTACAAATACTCTGAAGCTGACTTAAAATCTTTATCAATCGTATGTGACACTTTCCTTTTTCAGATCTCTTTTATAACATACATTTCCTTTGCTGCCTAAATCCATGTTCCCTAGTCCACAAAGCAATGTATTTAAAATAGCATAAAGCTATTTTAGCAGAAAGAAAAAAAGATTAAAAAAATTTGCTCCCATACAGAGGCTGCCACGAGGGCTGTGTCTTGATAAAGTGCTTCTTAATTCCATGTATCTTCTATGCGGTAACTCTACAAACTGAGGACCATAGAGGCTTAAGTTACATTTGAGAAATGTTACTGACTTCAGATATCGATGCAAAAGTCAGTAATGTGGAATTTTCACCATTATACTTTTACCACAGGGAGGTACTGGTAACCCTCCACCATACAAAATTTTTTAGGTAAAAATCCTGAATTGTATTCCTGTCCATTTTGCCTCATGTGGTTTGTCCCTGCAGTGTGATATATGCCCTAGTACAGCAAAATTCTCAGTCTCTGCAGTAGGAGCTCTTGGCTTTTTGAAAAGCACAGTGCAGTTAACCCAGAATAGTCTTTCTGTCTTAGTAAGAAGTTCTGTCAGTGCTGCCTTACTGTGCTGTCAATCTTGAATTGAAGCGAAATGTTAACCCCCCCCCCAAAAAAAAAAAAAAGAGTTACAGGATTGTAAGTGGGAGGTAGTTGTGATTTCCTTCTAAATTTTTGTTAAAAAGGTCAATGCTTTTGAACTACAAATGTTACTGCAACAATTTACTTCCGTAAGTTACTCTGCCTCTCAACTATGCGGGTTTTTGTAAAAATCAGTAAGTAGCTTATAAGGTCCAAGCTCTTATTTAAAAGGGACAATATGCTTCTCTACCAATTTTGAACTAACAAAATGAGCCCACAGCACAGTGCAGGTGGGTTTCTACTTGCAAGAATGACCCATTTTCCCCTTACCATTTCGCTCTTGACTCCTTACCTGACCACATCTAGTAAATTCCAAAGGAAAAATAAAACACACACAACGTATTTCCCTTGAACTTCTTCCTGACTGTTGATCACGACAAATAAAACAATTATTCTCTCAGTGATCTGAAAAGAAAAAAGAATTGTGAATTGCCTTCTATAGCTGTCACGTCTGTGCCATGTTGGCAAATAGAAGGCCACAGGTGAATCCAGTTTTGCCTTGCATAAATGCTCCAGTGAACATTTCATTTCTTGGTCTGCTTTTGTTCAAGACCCCACTGGCCTCCAGCTTGGGGAACTGGAAACTCTTGGCTGCAGCGTCGTAGATCTGCTACAATAAGGGTGGAGGTTTGCTTACCTGCGGGGATGACTTGGGTTTGCAGCCCAGGAAATCTGTGGATGCACCAGCTGAGGTCGTGGGAGCAAGGACCTCTCCCCCTGTGCCCTGGAGCAACCTGGTTTGGGGGTTTTGGCACTCCCCCTGGAGCGCCGGCGGGGGCAAGCTTCCTTGCTTGTAGGCTGCATGGGAGGCCGTGGGGTGCAGAGGGCCCCTGGGTGGGTGGTGTGCCAGACAGTGCTTAACCTTATGGTCCCAGCTCTGTGTTCTATAGCTTAGAGATCTGCATCCCAAGGGATCTCTCCCTCTAAGATTTGCAGAAAGGACAAGTATAATTCCTTATTTTTCTTTCCTCCTTATTCCTGGGTAGAAGTGGGTTTAAACTTGTCATTTATGTGAATTATTGCCATAGTATTTGTGTCATAATATTTTTCTAGTGGTTGAATGTTAACCAACCCACAAGATATGCCTTTACAAATGAAAAGATATAAAAGCAGATTACACAGGCTATGTCTCCAGCTTGAAAAAATACTTGTGCAATATTATAGCTCAAGAAATTAAAAACAAGTATGTCTTCTTGCGCTTTCTTGGACAAGTTTCCTATCAGTATCCATGCTCTGCCCTATAAATAAATATATCTGTAGTATTGCCAACAATTGCATGTGAAATTTTCCCAGAATGGTACCAGTTCACTCTGATTTACACTTTAATGGAAGGTGTGGAAGGAGAAAACATTGATCTATTCAGCTGGTACCAATCAGTATAGCTTCTCTGGGGCTTTATATACACAATGCCTTCTCTTCCATAAGGTACCTTAAGTTCAACTATTTGGGTTAAGATGTCAAGTCGGTGAAACATCATGAAATGAAAACTGATTAACAAGGTGGTTTTTATAAGTGCAGTCATTCTTCACTGGTTTCGTGCTTCCCCTTGCTCCTACCTTAAACGAAATAAAAACTTGGCCTCAGCAAGTTTGTGCGGTAGTTTTGGTACGTAATGTTTACTGGCTCCTGTGTGGAACATTTTGGCTACAGACCTTTTTTGCAAACCACATCTGTCAGATAAAGCAGCCATCACTTCGCTATTCAGCAGAATTATGCGAGAGCAATTTTTCATACAGAAAGAGCATGTCCATCCCCCAGGGATCTGGTTCTGCATCTTGAAAGGCACTGAGCGGCCACAACAGATAAAAAATGGTTTTGCTGCCTCTCGCCCTGCCCTGACTGTCATCTGGTGCTGCCCCTCCCATTGGTCCCTAAGGAATTGATTTCCAAAACGCTTAGATGTTGACAGGCTTCTGTATAGACAGCCCAGAAAACAGTGTGAGAGGTACCAAGTCCTGTGTTTGTACGCTGATGGTGAGGAACCTGGCAGGAAAATGGGGGAACTGGGAGTATTGATGCAGGATCTGAAACCAGATACAACAGAGATAGGAGAAGCATGGTGGGACAACCATCACAAGAGGGAAATCAAAACAAAGGGAAAAGCAGTGTGAGCATTGAGTGGGATTGTGTGCAGGAAAGAGTAAATAAAATGGAACCTGAGTTGAAATCATTTTGGTGAAGGCTGGTGAAGAAGTGCAGCATTTTGTTACCGATCCTAAAAATCAGTTTGGGATGTGAAGTGAGAGTTCTGCGATATCGCTAATATGAAAGAGATTTCAGGGAATTGTCCCACCTAGAGACCAAAGCTTCATCATGATAATGAAAAGGTGGACATGTTTTTAGATGTGAGAGCAGGCAGATTTTCCGGATGGTCACTTACTCTTCGAGAGGTGGCTGGGTGGAGCAGTGCTAGAAAACAGCATGGGTCAAGTGATCAGGAGCGGGTCCTGTTTCAGTGGGATAAAAGGATAAGCAGCAGCCGGGTAGCTGCCATCCCCAGCTGCAAACGGGTGAGCACTGGCTGATGACAGAGTGGCTATGGAGACCCACAGTTCACCCTCGTGGTTTGGGAGGGGAAGAGCCTGTGGATTTCCTTCTCTCCCCAGGACATAAGCAGATGCACCCGGGTAGTGAGTTATTGCCTAGCTGGGGCTCAGCAGCTTTCCTCCGGGATTTCCTCCATCGGAGGATCCCTGTTTGGGAAGGGGAGCAGCGGGGCCTTCAGCCTCACTGGCGGCAGATGATGGAAGTCAGTCATCAGACTGTGTGAAGTAGGTGAAGCACCTGTAAGAGCAGGGAACTGTCCCTGACTCAAAGCAGGTCTGTTCCTCTCGGACTGCGGTGTCAGCCAGCAGAAAAATGGGACGCAGAAAGCGGCTGTCAGAGGCCGGAACTGAAAACCGCTTGCGGCCTTGCTCTGGAGCGCGTCGACGGAGCAGGACACAGGCCTGGCTGCTCGGGGCGATGGCGTTGTCCCCTTGAGGACAGACCTACTGCTTTTCTGTGTACATCGGGAGGGTGGCCGCCTGCTTGCCTTTACTGCCCTTCAAAACATTGTGCTCTTCTCTTTCGCAGCAATCCCGGCCTTGGGTAACCCGCACAAGCCGAAGGTCGGGGCGGGGGTCAGTCAGGGGCTGGGGACCCTTTCGGCCAGTGGCAGGGCAGGAGCTGCTGGAAGCGGAGGAGAGTCCAGTACACAGCTGTTGATACTGGGCGCCTATACACACGCATCTGTATAGATACATACGTGGAATCATGTACATGTATAAATATGCACTCATACATGTATACATATATAAAGCACGTGCTGCTGCTCAGCCACAGCTTGCCTCTGTGGATCATCTGGCCTTGCAGGAATGAAAACACAGTAAGTGGTTGCTACTCTCTTGCTTTAAAAAAAAAAAAGACAAAACTAGGAAGTCCTACATTTTCATGTTCATAAAAAGGAAGTATGTGCTGACACCTCACAAAGCATAAATACAACTGTTTCATTTTTCATTCCTTCTTGTTCTTTGTGTTAACTGGAATTTCCTTCCTCTCCCAGCACTGGTCTCTCACGGGATACAGCAACTTCTGTAGAATGGCATAAATTTCCGCAAGGCAGCCTGGGCATTTGAAGCAAGTATGTGAAAAAGCAAATTAGACTAGCTGAGTTAGGGCGGGAGCAGGCAGCACATTCACTTCCATTTTTTAATAACTGTGACTGTGCAGTATCATACTTGGTACCTGAAACCCTTACGTAGCTCTTCAATTTAGTGAACATTCAAAAAAAAAAGTAAAAAAAGTGCCACTAAATATTTAGACTAAGTTAAAAAATACTGGTTCTGTCACAGAGCTGCAGTACATTTCTTTTGGTCTGGAAAATCCAATCCTGTTTGCACAGGATGAAGAACTAGTGTTTTGTTCACAAAAACACCAGTCTTTTCTTACATCTTTCCTACTCTCTCCCTTGCTAAAGTATCAGTCCTACCAGCCCTTATTAAGTTGCATTATCCTCTGTTCTGGCAACTGCAATGACATGCGACACGTTTTCTTGTCCTCCTCTCAGTCATTCAAGCTGCTCATGCCTTGAGAGACATCCCTTTGCACCAACTTTGTGACCCTCTCTTGTCCTCCCTTCCTCTAGAGCATCACACAGGACTCATCTTTCTTTCATGGTGTGGCTTGGCCTTGGCCTACCTAACCCATCTCAGGGTGGCCTCTCTCTGGTGGCCTGAGAATTTGTCCCTCAGTGAGGCCGTCCTGAATGGGTTTTTCCAGAAAACACCTCTGAGTTTGCTTTTCCACGATCTCAAAGTGTTCCTTGTAAATGCTACTAAACCACGATAAATGGGATACTAGGCAGAATTCCTTCATTCAAACTCTGCTTAAATCTTTTTTCTGCTATAATGCCTACAAAACAACCAACCACCACAGGGGTGCTTTCACAGTGTATTTTATTCAAGGTGGCATGACCTCCACCCATGTGCTTCCCTAACATTGCCAGAGCCACCTGTTCTCTCATCCTAGAGATCACCTGAGATGAACTCTGTGGATATGCATGTGTGTGCATGGCCTGAGGGATGCATCTAGGGATATGTTTTAAGCTTAGAGTCAGGGCAGGTGGTGGGAACTCAGAACAGGGCAGTCACTATCAAATTCTGCAGCTTAACCAGTGGAGTAGTCCATTAGGCTGCCGTAAGGTAAGATCTCTATCTGTCCTTCCCCAGTTTACTGTGAAAAGTATTTTCTATTTTCTTTTTTTTTTCTTAAGAGGCAGGGAGGAGAGTGTGGCAAGGCACATGGGAGTACTGTTGGCACACAACCTGCATTCTCACAGCAAAAGCAGCGCAACCGAAGTGAAAGAAGTGTCGATGCCGAAGAGCTCCTACACCTTGCTTGGACAGCATGAGATGACTGCTAATGTCAAGGCAAGAGAGTTGTGTTTGCAGTGAGAGAACGTTTTAAGAAAGAACCAAGTAAGGATCCAAAGTTATCTTTGTTGTGAGGCAAATGTTTGTGGGGTCACAGTGCTGTATCTTTCCCTGACCCACCTTCTCCGTGCTGCCCTGGAGAGCTCTGCAATAATTGCACTGCCCAAGAAAGGTCACAGTTTTCTTGCTTAGAATATCCATTTCATATCTGGTGTTTTCTGTGGCGACACACAGCAGTGTTTGCGCAGGCTCGCCCAATGACTGCTTCTGTAGGGCCGGGTGGGAAAGGAATGGACTATGTCAGGGCTGGGGAATGTGTAAACTCTGCCAGGATTAAGCCTTGCTTTAATGACTGTTAGCATTAGCAGGCTGCTCCTCTCTCCAAGAGGTGACGTGAGATTTGTTACAGGACACAGTAGGTAGGATACTTTTTCTTTTTTTCTAGATTAGTGTAAAAGTATGTAGATTTAGACAGGGAAAAACACTTAATTGCATTTTGACAGGTTTGCTACCATACTTCGTGAGCAGCATAAGAAGAGAGATCTGTATTAGTCAATCAATTTATAATGGAGATTTAAAAAGAGGAACATCTTCACCCATGTAATACATCATTTGACAAGAATGGGCTATCCAGAAAACTAAAAACATAACTAACTACTCTTAGTCTTCTACATTCTGACCTCTGAGAGCAATACTAGTTTCACCATTATTCAAATACTAAGGATTGGAAAGGTTTGAAGGTAAACTCAAGTCAACATTTTTATTTTTTCCAGTTAATAAAAATACCAAAACCTGAGATTAACTCCCAACAGAAAACAAGAGTGTGGTAAGGAAAATGTTAGAGAATCATCTTGTTTTCTGCTATAGCATGTGATCTTTTGGCTGGTTTTCTGCTTACAGCTGAACATATGGCCTGTAAACCCCTTAACAGCGTCAGAACCTTGCTGCAATTGTGTTGTCACAATTTGCCCATGTCTGGGTTTGAAAGGCCAGAGACCCTTACAGCGAGAATATGACAATTTTCCTTTCTTTCCCCTCATTAATTCTTCTTCAGTCCCTTAATTTCTCAATCAATTTTTTTCCTTCCACACTGCATGACCACCAGCAAACCCTGCTTCAGAAGGTTTGATGTGCTGGTAGTTTTCTCACTGCCAACCTTTTGCTACCGCACAAAATCTTGTCTTGTGCTTGTCTACAAAATAAATATTCACTTGTCAGTGAGGAAATGGCATGAAAAAGAAACTGAAACTGTGGCTCTGAAATGTTGTCTTCTGTCTGTAAACAAGTTGGCTGGGGAGGTACTATCCTCAGCCACCTATGGCACCCTAGAAATGGGGTCTGCCTGTTTTCTGCAGATGGCCACTCCTCTGGACATCTTCCAGGTTCCTGCTGTTGTGGGCTGGGTGTGGGGCACTCACTATTCAGTTTCACTCAAAAAGAAAAATATTGAGAGAGCCGCTCTTTTCCAACCCAGTTCCAAGGGCTCAGGTCCTGCAGTTAGCAAACCATTAGCAGACCAAGCTCCCTGAGGAAGGGTGCAGGTGGACCATTCAGGGTAGTTCATGGAAGGAGGGTCTTCAGAAATGGACTTACCTGCAGAAACCTGGGGAAGAGACGGGTTTTATCAATGCCAATGAGGATGTGTAGGATCTCCAATATAGATAACAACTGGCAAATGCGCATTACAAGTCCTATGGAGTAAAATGTGTCGGCCAATGAATCTACAGACAAAATGAAGAGGAAAATTAGAGGGTGGTTATATAGTGAAAGTCTGGACCAACTAGTGGGTTTGCTCTTGCCCTGTCACCACTGGAGATGACAAGAAATAAAGTTCACACAGTACCAAACTTTTGGGTAGCAGAAGCAAAGCTTCAGGGGGGGAGGAAGCAGTCCACTCTGTGTCTGTGGCTCTGACACAGAGGCAGAAAGTGGAGAATAGAATGGGATCCCCTATACTTGATGCACTGGCAAATGCTGTGCAGGATGTGTTGGTTTAGAGATATCACTTTAGGATATTTCTAAATATGAGGAAATGTATGAGGAATGTCTAAACATGAGGAGATGTTGAGAACCTGCCTGTATCTGTACCCATGGCACCTCCCTAAAACAAGTAGACCATACAGTAGATATTTTATGTGCTTACAACTGTCCATCATTACAAATAATTTTAAATTTCCAGTCACTAGTTTTCTATTTTTGTGCCTTAACCCCATGCAACGGAAAGAGAAATATGTTGTAATGTTTTTGGAGATAGAAAGTCATGTGCAATAACCACAAAGACATTCCCTCCTAGTGCCTTCAATAAGATTAACATTCACCATGATGACTGGACCTAGTCACATTTAGGTCTATATCTAAGTCAAATGTTACTGGCATGCTGCTGAATATTAAAGCTCACTAGCAAAAGAAGAGCTTCATTCCTCATGTGATACAGGCAGAACTTACATACCAGTGATCTGTTCATCCTTTTTAATGGAAGAAACAATGTTTTTCTAATTGTAATTACAGCCCATGGTATTGGACACACACTTATTCAGAATCCTAACTTTAATTTCATATTTCTGTGTGTCACTGCCTCTTAAAACGTTTAAGGGAAATATAAAAAGAATCCTACCTTTTCCAAATGACATGAACCGGATGATCATATTTGTAAATATCCAGGAATGTCCACAAAATTGCATTAAGTCATACACAAAGAGGTAGGTGTTCATGGTAAAGCTGTAGAGGTGAAAATGATAAAGCAAACTGTAGGACTTGCTACAACATTCAAGCTTTTTGACCTGTAGAAATTGTACCCTCTTTGGACATGTTGGGAAATCAAAGGAAAACAGCTGAAATGTAAACAGATCAGTGAAAATTCTGTCTGTCAGTGGTCACAGAACAGTACTCTCCCTAATGGATCAAAGGCTCCTTTTGCTGGTATACCTAGGATATGCCCAGAAAGATTTTCTGAGTTTCTACCAGTGGCTAGGGTGATCTGTGGCCATATAGTGAAATTTTATGTCCCCAGAGGAAAAAGTAACTAAACAAAGACACCCTATTGAGTGCTGGATTCAAGACTGAACACTTGGCATGGCTCTGCCTTGACAGTGGGACCAGACTCGAGGGACTGCTGGGGTCGCACCTACAGCAGCCCTGCTGAGGGCCTTGGACTCCCACAGACACCAGCCTCGGGATTTCTGCATCTGTGAGGTTTATCCTGGTCTTCCCAGAAGACATGCTTCTAGCATGTGCTCAAGACAGCTTAAAGTACAATGCAGATAATTTGCAGTGTCTCCAGCAGACAGCATAGTTGTAGGTATTTATAAAATGTAGGTGAAGAAATGGAAAAGCAAGCCACATTTCAATCTGCTTTTATTTGATGCAGTCTGAGCGATATCTGTCTGACCCTTCTTTAAATCAACTTCCTCTACAGGTTTTCCAGATAAACATTAAATTATGGTCTTTGTCTTTCTGCACAGCCTGTGTTTCAAGTTGCATTTGATAAAGTGAATCTTCTCCTGTTGGAGCAGACTAACTTTTGTATCTTTTCTATCCTAATTTCCATAGGTAATTTGGCTTTTTGCAAAGCTTCATAGGCCCTGGAGATACTTAATTTCCCTTTCCCATAGATGTATTTTCTTCTGACTTACTCCTGAGAGAGAGGGTTGCCTGTCCTCCAGCTATGAAAAGAGCTGTCTACCTTTTTGGGAAATGAATTTGTTAATTTTGTACTAGAATTATCTGTCTATCTCCTGTGTTTGACTAATTAATTTCCTGCCCCAAAAACTATAAGTTGCCCCTTGATCCAGTGTGTTCATGTGATATGTCTCTGCCATTAAACTTTTTTTCATTTGTATCTGTACATCAACGAACACCATGAATTTCTGTGTTTAGAATTACCTAAATATGATAAATGTATATACTTCATTCCCAGCATTGGACCCAGACCATAAATAACAATATACACTTCTGTAAATTGATCTAGCTACAACTACCTGAAAGGGGGTTGTGGTGACGAGGGCACTGGTCTCTTCTCCCAAGTAACTAGTGATAGGACAAGAGGAAATGGCCTCAAGCTGCACCAGGGGAGGTTTAGATTGGATATTAGGAAAAATTTCCTCAGCGAGAGGGTGGTCAGGCATTGGAACAGGCTGCCCAGGGAGGTGGTGGAGTCACCATCTCTGGAAGTGTTCAAAAAACATGTGGATGTGGCGCTTCAAGACATGGTTTAGGGGACATGGTGGTGCTTGATTAATGGTTGGACTTGATGATCTTGAAGGTCCTTTCCAACCTAGTGTTTCTGTGATTCTGTGATAGATAAACTGATCTTCTAAATTTTTGACCTAAGTATATCCTAGGGAGGTAGTAGAAAATGCCTTTCTTCCTCTCTTTCTGCAGGAAAATGCCTTTCTTCCATCTCTTATGCAGGATGGCTGCTATTCATATCATCTTCTATAAGCAGAGAAAAATTTGTTGGCATAATTTACCTCCCAAGAGACATCAGTGCCCTTTGATACTATGAAAATAAGATATATGAGGACACAGACAAAGGAATGTATTCCATAAACACTCCTTTTGGGAAAAGTGTAATACAACTGAACTGGACTAATCAGACTAAAGTCCAGTGAGCTCTATAAATATTGACCCATCTGCTTTATTACTGAATGACACTTCATTCTCTCTTCTGGTAAGAAAAAAAGGTGGGACTGTAGATTACAAAAAGGCAAAAAATTAAGAACTTTGTTCTAAGAAACAGCCTTGGACCTGTTGGAGCGGGTCCACAGGAGGGCAACAAAAATGATCAGAGGGATTCAATATCTCTCCTGTGAGGACAGGGTGAGAGAGTTGGGGTTGTTCAGTCTGGAGAAGAGAAGGCTTCGGGGAGACCTTATTGCAGCTCTACAGTACTTAAAGGGGGCTTTAAGAAAGATGGGGACAGGCTTTTTAGCAGGGCCTGATGCAGAGGACAATGGTTTTAAACTAAAGGAGAGTAGAGTTAGACTAGGTATAAGGAAGAACTTTTTCACAATAAGGGTGGTGAAAACTGGCACAAGTTGGCCCGAGGAGGCGGTAGATGCCCCATCCCTGGAAACATTCCAGGTCAGGTTGGACGGGGCTCTGAGCAATCTGACCTAGTTGAAGCTGTCCCTGCTCTTTGCAGGTTGGACTAGATGGACTTCAAACGTCCCTTTCAGCCCAAAGTATTCTATGATTCTGTGATTACTGGATGGATAGGAAATACTGCAATGGGTATGAAAGTTACAGGAATAGTTATAAAAATCCTGAGGCTTTCCATTCTGCACCTCCACCAGTCTCTTTGGTCTGATACTGCCATGTGGGCTTTGCACGGGATGCAAGCTGAGCATATAGTTTCTCTCCTCTTTAGAAGTTTATTGAAGACATCTGTCTCTCATCCTCAGATCATGTCTTTCAGTGATTTGGGCTTATTTTCCAAAATCTTCCTCCACTGGATGGCTAGAAAATTGTCTTTACAATTCTTAAGCTGTTTAATCTTGGCTAAACGGGACATAACTAAAAGGACATTTATAAACACAGCTTCACACTAGTGTTTTGGCAATATGGCAGTCGTTGCATGTTAGAACTCATCATCTTTAAAATGTACTGGAGACTACTGAAATGTATAGAGACTGTTGGCAATTATGGAAGGCCCCATATTCCCAATGAGGTGTAGAGGTGTGCTGGCAGGCAGCATGCTGGTGTTACCTGCAGGACCAATCCTGGCCCCAGAGCTGTGAGCAGCACAGCCTCCTCTCTTGGTGATGCTCTCCACTGTGTGAAGGAACAGCCCTGCTCTGAAAATGGGGTTTCATCCTACTGTGTTAATCCCCTCACCAAAGGTACCTAAGAGCAGACGCCTTTGACAGAAGTGAAGAAATCTGCAGAGAATAAAAGGTCATGTCAGTGCAATCAAAGGAAACTGAAATGTAACTCTTCTCTAAAGTCTGTCTCATCCAAGGGATGACATCTTCACCTAGAGCACCAGAAGCAGACTGAGGATAACCTATTTCACTGTCCTAACAGTGTCACAACACAAAATTCAGCCATCTGCTTCTATTTGAAAAGTTGCTGGCAGAAGAGGAGGACTTTCACTAGATTTCTTGTTCCCCTTGGTTCACAGCAGGCATCATTCCATGTTTGCCTCGCAGAGCCTGCTTCTGCAGCACCTTTGCAGGCAAAACACTGACTAGCAGTCCGCCCCGTAGCTGTTCAGTTCCTGACCCTGCCCCAGGCTTGCTGGCGGACCTTACAAACCTCGCTTAGCTTCCCTGGTGGTGCCTGGTTTGTAATATGGGCTTGCTGATGTGTTTATTCCTTGTACTGTGATGTGCTTTAACTCTTTCAAGTTGCTTTTGTTTGAAGGCATCAGAGGAGCACCGTGCATCTCAGTATTCTGCCCGCTCTGGTGGCAGGAGAAAGAGACAGACATGGGTCTTGCAGTAGAGACACCCAGAAGGCTGGGCTTGCTGTCTGTTGTCAGTTCAACACTATTTAACCGTGGCTGATTTTATACCAAATACATTGAAATGCTAGGGATGCATTTATCATATATAGGATCAACCTTGCTTAGTGGAAAACTTTATCTGCTTTCTCTCCGGGCTCAAAACCTAGGAAACCACATGAAACATAAGACCATTCAGAATAAGTACATGGTCCCAAACATCTTCTTTTCCCTTTTATTCACCAGCAGAGATTTTACCAGTGATACAGTTATAGCTTGCCAAGCCTGACATGTTTCCACAGGCAGAAAAATCACGTAATTGTTGCATTTTATTATTTTCAGCATGAAAGTCTATGATCTGAGCTAAGTACGTGCCTGCAGTGCCTGAAGGGTGGTCAGAAGGGCGTCCTCCCTTGAGCTAAGGTGACAGGCAGCCCTTGCTCCGGCTAGGTGTCCCTTGCAAGGTGCCGGGATGAAGGCCACGCTGAGATCCCTCTCAGAGGGGTCCTGCCCAGGCCGGCATGAACTGCGCACTTCCCTGCCTTCAGAGCTATCGCACTCTGCTGCCTTCCCGCGCGGCCGTACGGGCTGGCGGCACATGAGGAAGCAACCCTCGCGCTGAAACCAGAGAGCGATGTTCCTTTTTTTCTTTTTTTCCCTGCAGGAAAGGTCTGCTAGAAAAGCCCCTCTGCTGACACCGTTTCCTTTTAAGTCGTATTGGTCTGAACTTCTACCCCTTCCCCCTCCTGCCCCGTGACAAGCTGCAAGCGCTGTAGCTCAGGAAGGAGAAAGCTGCTGAGAACCAGTACGAAAGATGCACTCTTCTCTCACAGGCACATCCCACTCCACTTTTTTTTCCCCTTCCTTTCCTCATTTGAGCAGTCTAGGTCACCTGTGCTCAAGGGATATTACCTGTTGCAGGGGTCGGACTGCTGCTGCTGCTGGTCTTTCTCCTTTTTTCGCTCTACAGATGCAACAGATGTTTGTTAGGAGATCACCCCTCCTCTTTCCTCTTCCCCCACCCTGCAACGTCACCGTATGTAAGCAGGAACAACACTCTACTTCCCGAGAAAGGCGTTTCTAACCCCAAATATCTCCACCCCAATTGCCCAGCTCCTCACCCAGCCTAACCTAACCTGAATTGGTTTCTTGCTGTTGTACCAGTAAACTAATCTGCAAATCCCACTAACTTTGTCTCTTAACCCAAAGCAGTATTTCGAAGGATTACTAGAGAGAAGAAATGCAAAATTAAAAATTTGTTTTTCTCTTCTGTTTA